TCTCCCGATTCTACAGATGGCCAGTCCGCAGAGGGTGGAAATTACATACCGGGAGTAAACACAGACGTGCAACGGGAAGGTGTTCCCACGGGAAACAAAACTTAAAATATTAAATGAAACAATCTCATCTCTTAAAATTCACAACTCATTATGAATTATACATTCACAAACTTATAATTATGTATTCATATGTTTAACTCTGTTACATATGCATGCAACGAACAGAAGAGCGTAGGGCAGAATTAGGAGGGAATTCCGTCTCGTAGCGTTTGTGCACCGTTTTGAAATGCCGCTCTATATTACCCTTCTTCGGCAAAGCCACGCTCGCATTGCAGATGAGACAGATGGACTTTGAATTGGAATAAACAAAAAAATAATCATCCTCCCACTCGGAGTGAAAATTATATATTTGGGGCTTTTTTGCTTCTGCCATAATTGCGGTCTTGTGTGTGTGCGGACTGTCACTCCTGTTGACACGGACAACGTCAGCTAACTAGTAGTGATGTGTCGGTCGCGAACGAGCCGATTCTTTTGAACGGCTCTTTGGTACGAACGAGGGGAACCGAGTCGTACTTGGTGAGAGCCGTTCTTCTTATCGTTCAATCAAAGTTGGTCCGCACTCACTGCCTGCCAAAATTCACTCGCCTTTTAAAAAGCTTGATTTTGTTCCCCAAACGTATTCTGTGAAGACCCGCCCCTACTCTGATTTGTAGGTTTCAGCACGAGGAGTTAGGTGGGGTGGGTCTTAACGGAATACGCGAGAGAGAGAAGTCATAACAAGTGGTACTGGACAGATAGACGACGTGTTTTTCGGATGTAAAATGAGCCAAACGCGAAAACGCAGCAGCATTTGGATGCACTTCAACCAAAACCCAGGCAGTGATAAAGCGCACCATTTGTAAAGGCAAAATATCCTTTAAAGCAGGGTCAACAAATAATCTCCATCGCCACTTAAAAACACACTACTAATATTAAGAGTTGCGTGAATTTCATTCAAGGCAAGGCAACTTTATTTACTTAACACATGCAGAGGGTAAATTCAAAGTACATTCACTGACATGAATGACATGGATATGGCGCCACCTTGTGTCATGTTTACAATGCAGATTATTGACATTAGGTCTGGCAATGCAGTCAATCATTATCCTGGTGATTATTTCGCAGATAAACCTAGTAACCCCGCCCCCTTTTTAAAAAAACGGCTCTTTTGAACGGCTCTTTGAAAGGAACGGAGCCATAAGATCCGGCTCCCTTCAAAGAGCCATAATTCCCATCACTACTAACTAGTGCTGCCCAGTGCCCACTGCCCACCAGCCACGCCCCGACACATGGGGTCACGCCAATCACAAAGCTTTGATGCGTTCAAGTGCATTATTCTGGCACAGGAAGATTATGTTATAAATCAGGACATTAACGATAAAACTGAATATTGTTGTTCTATTTTTAGACACATCTCGCGATCGACTGGGAATCTCCTGGTCGATCGCGATCGACTGGTTGGGCACCCCTGATATAGACGGTTCGGCCACACGAGGCCGACAGGGAAACGCAGATAACGATAACGGGTCCCAAGGTGGGTAGATCTGCGGACGAAACGCTCTGGGGGGCCAAACGGCTCCGTGTCTACGCCCTATACGATCATTTTCTAATAACGATGACGCAATAACCCCGCCTCTCCCCACCTCTCATGCTCACCCCCGTGTCACCCGCGTCATTGCTGATGTGTTTCGCCAACAACAACAACAGTTTTCCGAGTGTTTCGAGCCAGGTCCCGGTATCTCGCAGGACAGTGCACCCAGCAGGTGCCTCCAGCAGACCCACCCGCACGGCAGAGTTTCCGTTAGCCAAAATCTCAAATTCTCCGGTCAAAATGTCGCTTATTGTTTAGGTGTCCTTTGACACGCAGTCATATCATTAGCTAGAAAGCTAGATCTGATCGATATGGACATAAACGCGAGTGAAGTCTAATCGGACAGGAGAGAGAGATCAGAGATAGAAAAAAACTGAGAAAAAGAGCCCTGCCTCCAGAGATGGGGTCGTTACTAAAAAAAAGTAATATATTACATATTACATATTACTTTAAAAAAAGTAATACATTACACTACTTCGTTACTCTCTACATAAAGTAACTCGTTACTTTACTCGTTACTTTACTCGCAGGGCCGGCCCGCCCCTCCCTACAGGCAGATCACGCAGACTACTAAAGTTTCAAATGTCCTCTTTATTTCAGTTTCCATTGTCGCATAAGACTGATCCAGATAGCTCTGACCATGGCTGTCCTCTGTCTCCTGCTATCTGTATTTTGCGCAGTATATCTCTGAACGATGCGATGGTGATTCCACTGTGCAAATGGGCAACATTTTCTCTACTATGAAGGATGCTACAAGCCTGTCCATCTCTGCTTTGGTTACCGGTAATTTGTGCTGCTTCGGAGTCGGCGGCGGCGCACTCACAACATCCTCACTCTGGGTTCGGGGGTCCTTAGCTATTAGCTTCACTTTAGCATGTGTTCTTTGCAGGTGTTTGTTGAGGTTTGACGTGGTGTTTACAGCAGTGGATAACAGCTTCTTCGGACGAACTCAAAATAATGGGCATACCGCCACCCCTCGAAAGTTATCGCTGACTCTGCCATGTTTATGCAAGTCGCGCAGATTACGTACATATAAACCTGCGGCGGAAACCCCTCTTGTCTGTCAGTGTGATTATGACTGATTTTATAAAAGTAACGAAGTAACGCGTGTCGGGGCAATGTTAGTAACTGTAGTGTGATTACTGAATTATAAAAGTAACGCGTTACACTACTCCGTTACCGAAAAAAGTAATATTATTACAGTAACGCGTTACAAAGTTACAAAGTTACAAAGTAACGCGTTACACCCAACTCTGCCTGCCTCTCCCCACCTCTGCTGCTAAATCCACCGCGGAGAATAAACAGAAGGGCAACCATGGAAACCATGCTCGGAAGTCTTCTTCGCTGCTTTTGGTGTATTTTGTGGCGGAAGTACAGCGCCACTTACAGGCCCGGCATATGTACTAAAGCGTCTCCAGCGGATCGAGCGGTCTCGTGTGGAAGGACACGTTTCTGGTGCCTATTGCGTCTGGACGGAATACTTTTTTGATAACGATTTCGGTTTGTTTGCGTTACCGTTCTCGTGTGGCTCCAGCCTTATTTACTGAGCACTTGACCTTCTGCGGGTTCATTGTTTGTATCTGGTGTATTTAATAAAGTAAGTATTGCTCTTTCCTTGCTCCCGCCCCCTGACATATGCTGGGATCTGATCTCGGAGCATCTTTCTCAATTTATATCCCAGTGTGTTTTTGAACAGTGAGCACTGTTTGTGAAGGTTGCTGCCGTCAGGGACTATTACTGGAGACGTTTATGACCTTTCGGGTCACCATGCCTCTGCAGTTCATCTCACGCTGTGTTTCTGCTTCTCAAAGTGTGTTCACACAGTGGTGGAAATAACAGTTGATCTACATTCCACAGGGTGATGTGTTGGTTCCTCTGAGATTACCAAGAACTCTTTGTCAGCACCACAACACCAAATGATGCTTTATTTAAATGTCTTGGTGGACAAAGCACTCAGAGGTTTTTTACAATATGGTATTGGTGCTTTTTTGAGTTAAAGATATGTTAAAAGTACAATCCCTGTCGATCCATTCAAAGTTATTCAAAAGTACAAAAGTATTTGCATCAAATTACAACTTAAAGTTTCAAAAGTAAAAGTACTTAGTATGCATAATGACCCATTTCAGAATCATATAATAACTACTGATAACTGCTGCTTGTGATTATTGATGCATTAATGTGTCAATCATAGTTGGTAAAGGTAGAGCTAATTTAATAACTTAATATACTGCTGCTTGATACTCAATTTTGATATAGATAAAGTACCTATAACTATAGCTGTCACATAAATGTAGTGGAGTGAAACGTCCACTGTTGGCTTCTGAAATGTAGTGGAGTAAAAGTATGAAGTACAATTTTGTAAATCTACTTCAAAAATACCATCCCACACATTTAATATGAGTGTAACTAATGGAGTTGGCTGTAATTGACCCCTGTTGCACCTTTTACCACACCCAAAGGTAATGGTGGTGTTCTGACCAGCACATGGTCAGAAATGTAACCACTGGACCTCAGCAGAAACTAAGGAATCTATCCACTGTATCATAAGTCTGTACAAACATCCAGGGAGATCTGGCCCAGTACGGTTACTACCTTTATCAGTTTGGTGGGGGCCACTGGAGGACCTAACGTAAACTGGCTCTTGACACAACACTAACACATTTGTTTGGAGATGAATATTTGGGGTGAGATTTAGTTCCAGTTCCAGTGTTTGGCCAGTTTTACCCAAGTGTATCTGGCTGAGTAAATCCGAGCCTGAATTGTAAAGCAAAGCCTTTACTGTCTTTAGAAGCTAAACACAACGGCATGCTCCTAAGGCTGTCACTGAATTTATTTCCAGTGGTAACTGAGTAACAAGCAAATAAAGTAAATGCATTTCCATTAGTGTTTCTCGCTTGAGGTGTTCAAGTATGGCAGGGGATTAGGGCCACATGTAAAAATGTACCAAAAAGTATTATATTTATCTTTTGAGGTTACATTCTGAATTATTTTTGTGACTTTTACCTTTATTTTTTCCCCTCAAAATTCTGAATTCTGAATGTTATCTCAGAAAAGAAAAAGGTACTTTTAGTCAGAACTGAATATTTGCCCTAATTCTCTCCCGAATCAAAGGATCAGTCAGTATCTGGATTTAATTTCATGTTGTGGTCTTACGATCAATAATGTGGCCAAGCTTCTCTCTTTTCTCTTTCTGTTTGAATGAACGGAAATACATTTTCCACATTATACCACCTAACACAACATGCTATTTTTGCACGCTCTTTTTTTTCGCGCGCTTGCCAGTCACCGCGTGCACTAATGAATTCCTCATTAGCAGGAAGTGGACCGCCTCAGTATGTCTCCGTGCGCGCGCGGAGCCACATCAGGACTCTGAGCTCCGGGTTAGTGTCAGTAGCTGTGGGGACTGCTGGAGGAGCTCTTCTTTCTGGGTTACTACTCTCTTTTTCTACCAAAGCCTTCTTCATCTCTACTGTCACTTCTCAGTTTCTCCTGGCAACATAAAGGGCACCTGTCGCGACTCAGGTAGGCAGACCCGCTCGATAATGACATATAATTAGGCGAATTATAAAAAAAACCCTGATTGTTGAGGCAGAGGGAGTTCTGTTCTAAAAGAGCTGAACAGAGTGTGAGTAGCTGAGCCGGTGTAGTGTCTGTTCATGGAGACACATCTCGGTGTGTTCCGTTCAACAGCTGGATGGTGGTTTGTGGAACAGCGCGCGCTCTGAGCGGTTTCCCCTCTTTTCTGCAGGTTTCCGCCATGAGAGGACAATGGAGCCCATATTTCACGTCCGTGCTGGTGTCTTTGACCATTCTGTGGCAGACACGGTAAGTTTTATGTCAGTGAAATTTGTTTTTATGAATTATCAGGAAACTACAAGCGCTCGGCAGACTGGCGCGCGCGCGGGTCTGATGTTTCCAACAATAGGTTTATCGGGATTTTTTGTTAAGTATTAGAAGCGTGCTCAACTGCTACTAATGGACTATTACCGACTTTAATGAACCGCATTGAACATAGGGATTTAGAATAATGAGTATTTGCTGCTCAGAGCGCACAGTTCATCCTTTCATGCAGAAATACCACACCAGACTCCGTTCATAATTCTGTCAATTTAAGAATAATCTGCAAGCTGCTGCAGTTTCTTAGGATGTGTTAAATCGTGCTGGTGAATTCGGCGCATCGATATTAAACCTAACATATTTTTATAGGAATCAATATCAACCTCAAGAGTTTTCACTAATCTTACAAATATCCTAACGCATATTAATACAAGAATTGGAACTCTATCAATCTGTTTAATTTTGATAGTAAAATGTAAACGTATAATGTAAAATGAATATAGGCTACCAGTCTGTAATCAATGGTGAAATAAATACAGTTTGATATTTACAAGTTGATTTGTATATTTTGTATTAACTAATAATGTAAATCTGTGAAGTAACCTTTAACCAAAGCTGTCAGATACATGTAGTGGAGTAAAAGTATAAAGTAACATAAAATAAAGAAAACAATAAAGTACAAGTTCCTCAAAATTGTAATTAAGTACAATACTTGAGTACATGTACTTACTGTCGTAAAATTACATTCCACCACTGCCCCTGCTATTGTGATAATGAACATTTACTTTTTCCAAACAGAAAATGTGCCAATTTTGTCAGAAATGCTCTTTCTCTGATCGTCATTACCTTTATAAAACTGTTGATCAAACAATACTTTACTATGGAAGACTCTTGTTTACTAATGCATATAGTACTAATTATATCTTTATAAAATATGTAAAAAGCTGCAAGTAAACTCCATTTGTCCACACTCATTATGGCAGATAAAAAAGATTAGTCTTATTTTACATATGGAGTCATTCTTCCTTAACTGCAGTGTGCTCATATTGTACATACTGATAAATACAGTACATGCAGCTATAAAGCAACGGAAAATAGTTGTTATAGAGAAGGTAACAATCTTACCAACACTGAATGGGTACAGATTATGACAAAATGAGGAGAAGAAAGCTAAATAATTCCTGTGTAAAAGGGTACGTTTATCGCTGTGTCTTAATCTACGGACTTCTATACACTTTTTTTGTGTGCATTAGTGCCAAATGCAAAGTATTGCAAAATGCACTATAATTATCCGGATGGTGCACGTACATTAAAAAAAGTGAAATGTGTAGAACGCTTCTTACACCCAACAATCACTATTTTGGGAACGTAAAGAAAGTAAACTGACTGGCCATGATTGCAGTTGCTTTGATTTACACAGCATTTTACAAATAGATATACATGTGTTTTTTTCACTATTTGATAACATACCACCATTCTGGTGTGGAAAAATAAGTGTTACACTGTTAAATGTATAGGGTTATTGGGCAGTATGTATTGATCTGCTACCCTGTAAATACCCTGACCGATCGTGGTTATCTAGCAAGTCGCGAGCAAAATTAAAATGCAATTTAATACAACAAACTTGAGTCTAGATCCACATAATAATCTCTTACAATAAAAGAACCTCAGAAGATCAGCTCACTTCAACTGATAGCATTAATGGTTGATCTTCTATACTGTTTATGACCTATGTGTGGCTCTGTCTCACATATGTACCTAGATATATGAGGCACCTGCTAATTAATTATACTTTAAGTCTAAATTCTCCTTAAATTCCCCCTGCACTCCGTATTGTAGCTCAGGGCTTTGTCTGTCCCTTTAAAACTGTGTTAAAAAAACGTTATACGTGTTTGCTATTTGAATTATTATTTCGATTTTAATCCTTCCTATCCTAAATATATCCTTTACTATATCGCTACTATACTGGTCAAATCGCTTGTCTCACATAAAGGGATGCTCTATCCAATAAATGAAGGTAAACAATTTGCAGCATAGCCTAAATCGTCCAAAAGCATCTAGTAACCGCACCCTCGCTGTTTCGTAAACGTGCATGTCTTCTAATGCTGCTGCGATGATGATGATGACGCATCGGGAGATCGGATGGAATAGATTTTCAGATTGGATCAAATTGCTGACAGACTGCAGCAGTGCAGGTTCAAGGATTATATTGTAGGTGGAGATTACAGAATTGTGTTATCTTTCACAGTTCTTAGTCGTACTTAAGTAAAGTTTATTTATGTAGCTTACGTAGATTTCAATAATCATGCAACCGTCTTATTTTGCCTTGTTTAGGTCCGGAGTAGATTCCAATTCAACACGTAACGTCAACATCACAACGTTCACCAAGATCCTGGACAGTCTGCTGGATGGATACGACAACAGACTGAGACCCGGCCTGGGAGGTGAGAGAAGGAGGAGCTTTCACATAGGAGGAGATATTCTGACCTTTAGTATGAGTCAAACTCCTCAAACACTGTATCCTACATGTCCCACAATGCAATTTAATGAGGTACCAACATTGCTACGTAATTACACACATCCTTCAAACTCCATACTTGAAGTTTTTGCGCTTCCGAGTCCAAGCCTGCTGGCCGGCAGTGAATAGATGTCTCCTATTGGGTGTTAGCATACGACGCTGCACTGTTGTATGGATTTTGACGTGCGTCTTTTAGCGCATGTGCTAACCCATGTCCAGTGGGAGGGCTTTTGAGGTTTTCTTTCTGACAGTTGTTTGGGAAAGACCATTGCCCTCTATCAGAGAGCTAGGTACGTTAGCTGTTAGCAGAGGTGGGGGACTCGAGTCACATGACTTGACTCGAGTCAGACTCGAGTCGCATATTTTTGGACTTGAGACTTGCTTGACTTTGACTTGGTATTCATGACTTGAGACTTGACTTGACTTGAGACAGATGACTCGAAAGGACTTTACTTTTTTGTATTGTACGGAGCCTATAAAGGGCTATGAAAAAAATATATATACTGTATCTCGTGCCAAGTAGGAAGTGGAGCGCACAGGAGACAACCGTTTCATTGCAGACTGTAATGTTTATGTTGGGAAATGGCAGTGCATACATTATGTTAGATATATTTCGAACTCGGACTCTCATTCACTTCATGAAATTGCTACAGCACCAGGAGGCAGCGGGACGTGTAACTCCGCCTCTGAGAAGAGCAGCACCAGTGCGCAAAGAGCTGTGCCTTTTAAGCAACGCCTTCACTGTGTTTACCTTCATTAGAACAGCTAAAGAGCGACGGAAGGCTGCTACGTTTGAACCACACACACCTCTACACACACACACACACACACACCTCTACACACATCGAACTGCCCGATTAATTCCCCCTATTACTCGTTTTATGAAGGAGATGTCCGGTCACTAAGGCGCATGATGTGTGTGTGTTTGTGCTCTGCTCAGCTCTGCTCTGTGTGTGTGTTCGGTGTGTTTGTGTTTGTCCGATAACGGCATTTGATTTCAAATGACCATGAACAGTAATTTACACACATCTGGCCAACTCCATATGTATATGTCGATGTTCCCAAATAAAAGAAATTAGTTTAATCTTAATGTTGCACTGTCTGCACACAAACACACACACACATAGCATGCGCCCTGGTACATACACTATTCCGTTGCATTGGCTTTGATACAATATTTCTTTGTGCACAGACCCAGTTAGGAAAACAATGAGACGGTGTCATATGGGAGCACCTTAGACAGACCATGGAGAAATGCTGTGACCCTGCTGAAGGGGAGCCAGGGCAGGAGGATGTAAGATATTTGTGTTGTACTCCTGTTATCACTTTAGAGCCCTTTTAGAACTAGGGTTATCATTTCAGCGCCCCACTCTCCATTGCTGTTTATGTTGAAAATAAAACGAAACTTTTCATAACCACAATATTTGAACTGATTTAAAAGCGGAAACTGGGGTTATTCATCAGAATTTCGTATGACTTGACTTGTGACTTGCTTGACCTGAGCAATGACTTGACTTGACTTGCTTGACTCTCACCACAGTGACTTGGGACTTGCTTGAGACTTGTAGGTTAAGACTTGAGACTTGCTCATGACTTGCACATGTAGGACTTACTCCCACCTCTGGCTGTTAGCATCACAGTCCTGCTAGGTTAAATAACTGAGCTAACAGCTAACATTACCAGTACAGAGAAAGGTTTTATAGATACTAGGGCTGCACGATATTGGAAAAAACTGACATTGCGATTTTTCCCCCCCTGTCACTCACTCAAGTACCCCTGACATGAGAGCCGCGCAAGTTTTCCTTTTGTAGCAAGCAGCAAAATAATTGTAACATGACGTGTTTGAGTTCATTTGCTTACTTAATATCGCAAGTCCTAAATATTTTAAATAAAAAAATAGCACGTCCACGAGATGTGAATATCGCGCATGCGCATATCGCTATTATCGTCACGACACGATATATCGTGCAGCCCTAATAGATACACATTATAATGCTTCAAGCTCCAATCAGTAAAAAAACGTGCGTGTTGGTAAATTGTAACGTTGTCCTGATGTGGTTAAACATAATTCCATTATGTGTTTTTTCTAATGTAGTTTTGGCGAAAAACTTGAGTAAATAAAGTTGTTTGAAGGAGATGTTTTACACAGCATTAAAAAATAGATATTGGAGAGGGAATTATGACATATTTAACTTCCTAACAAACAGTAATAATGGAATGTATAATAAATAGGGCTGTCAAGTTAACGCGTTAATAACGCGTTAACGCCACTAATTATTTTAACGCGATTAACGCATGTGTATTTTTTGTCCTCGGCCGCCGTAGTTTCAGAGCGCATCGAGTTTAAAATACCATCTACAAGCTGATGCTGACAGCCCCGCTCCTGCTGCCCGCTTGTGGCAGACCACACTTCCACGCTCACCGGCAGGCCCGGACTGGCCATCGGGAGGACCGGGAGGGTGTGTGTATGTGTGGCGCGAGCGAAGCACACCTTACGTGTTGTTGTTGTTAGCATCTGGTGCTAGCTAGCTGAGCTAACGGATATAAGGAGCTGTTTCAATGAAAACAGAGGAGCGACATTTCGCCGACAACTGCGCCGAGCACTTGACTTTATGCAGGTAGCCAGACAGTGGGACATTGTACGAAAAGTCAGCACACTCAGCACGGATAGTGCCGCAACACAGCTCATACACACAGGCATATATGCCTTGAGCTGCACATAGCTCCAACGATCCTCCACATTCTCTCTCACACACACACACACACACACACACACACACACACACACACACACACACACACACACACACACACACTGTATTATTGTATGAGAGAGGTTCCAGGTTGAATTGAGGCGAATATTTGTAATGTTCAGGTTGTTGTGTTTAATATTCATGAGAATATTTGTCATTGTTCAAATGATAATAAACAAACATATAAAGCATAGTTGTCCACTCATATGTTGATAAGAGTATTAAAAACTTGAAAAATATCCCTCTAAGGTACATTTAGAACAGATAAAAAATGTGCGATTAATTTGCGATTAATCGCGATTAACTATGGACAATCATGCGATTAATCGCGATTAAATATTTTAATCGACTGACAGCCCTAATAATAAAGTTATTGGGATTTTATGTTTTTCTTTAGTTGTCTATTAAAGTAACACATTTTGTATCGAGAATAGTTTTGTTTCACTGGTATTAGTCTTATTATTATCTACTAAACTTCATGGTGTTTTTTTTGGTATGAATTATAGATTCAGGTGATTCTATCATAAATCAACGGTTAAGTTAGCTAACATGCTAACTTAACCGTTACAGCCACAGCTCATAGAAAACAACTGCTGTGCTGCAAAAACCTAAAAGAAATAGCAAGTAGTAAATGTGGTAGTGGAGGCCTTGTGTCACATTTTGTAAATCAAGTAATACTGTATACTGCTGGTTGGGAAGCTTTTGCGGGCCAGATGTGGCCTTTGTGCCTCCAGTTGACAATCATTGCTGTGCATAGAGCCGAGATGTAGTTCCTCTGGCTGAGACTCCACTTGCTTGTTCTGTCTGAAGCGCAGCAAAGCAAGGTGAGTCTGTGGTTTCTTTGTGAAAAGTGAACGTTTTACATAATCTGCTGTTGCTTCTAAATTGAGTTGGCTACAATCTAGCAAGTATTTCTGCCTGCCTCTGCAATCAATCAGCTGTACTACGGATGTTGTTTCTGTAGTCCTTGGTTAAATCGTAGGAGTTGACTGCAAGAGTAAAATATAGGCGCAGCTGTCTGTCTGAAGGAGAGAGATGTGGTGCAGTCAGGTGTGACAGCAACTGCAATCATAGCGGAGGAGAAACAAGCAGTAAAGTTGTCACGTGGAATAAAATGCACTGTTAAGCTTGTGTATGAAAAACACTGCAGCTTTCCTAGACTAACACAAAGCTGTGGGTGTGTTCATAATAGTCATTTTGCGTTGACTTGGTTCCAAAGTATCAGTTCTCATGACATCCCTACAGATTAAATTACCGATTATTCCGAACCAACAAATGATTTTAAATGGCACAATTGTATGGATAAATGTATCAAAGTATAGCAGTCTTCAGTTATTTGTACGAAGATTAACCATGTCCTACGAGATGATATATTTTTTTACAAAAGTGCTTGTAAAATGTGACATGGCTTTGATTCACAATTAAAAAGTAGCCTACCTCAAGGAAAATACCAATTTATATTGTGTATAGCCACTACAGATATATTATATTTAGTCTAAACAGTAATGTGTTCCACCTTTAGTAAAGAAAAAGCATGATTTTTGCAGATTTCTTTTTACTGAAGGGAGGATTTATTTTTTAAACTGAAAAATCAATAACGCTAACATATACTATTGCTTTTGATTTGTTATAGCTATTTCTTTCTTCCTTTTGAACCAGCTTGATTATTATAATTTTTTCAATTGAGTAATAATATTGCAAGAAGTAACAAGACAGGCGAGAAAACACACAAACAGAAAAAAAAGATTGTACAATCTAAACGTATTTTATATAATACTATTATTTAATATAGTTTTGGTTATGAATTTGTGTCTTTAGAACCAGCCTGATTATTCATCATATGCTATACGTTATCTATGTCAGTACAGTATAGTACTGTTAGGGAAACTCACCTTGGTTCAGGGTGGTGTGTACAGTGGCCTTTATAATAAAAAAGAAAAGAAAATTAAGCTTCTATCATCCTTGTTCGTCCTTGTGGAGTATTGTAAATGTACCTACCATTCACTGTTTTCTCTCTATCAGTCATACAAAACGTGCTTCTATTTTAATCAGTGTGTATGGGTAAAAAATAAATCACATGTTGGTGTTAGAGTGTAGAATGTATCCCGCATAGAGCTTTTGCCTTTAGTATCTGCATGTGTTTGATATATGTGGCAATCTCCATGCAGTGGTATGGGCTGTGTTCAATCTACAGCTCAGATGACATTAAGAGTCATGCAACTGAAATGAAATGAAATATGTTTTTTCTCGTGGAGTTCCTTTTTTCTTTGTGCGATGTAATGTAAATGATGTCAGTGCCACCAACAACACCCAAGGCAGTGCAAGACCATGCCTGCATACTGTATACATCTAGAATCACTCAAAGCTGAATCTATGTTTGGTGGCTTCACATTCTGTCCAAACAAGATGAAATATGGCTCTGCATTTATATCTGAGTGATAGTGGGTAAAAGGTCAGAGACATGATCAAATAGAGGGATCACACGGTTAACCTCTTTCTGTCTGCATGTTCTCACAACACTGATGTATGATTCATGGATGAACATAAGTGCACGTTTTCTATGCAATGAGTCTTTCAAGTTGTGTTCCTGTTTCCTTCTGTCACCATAGTTTAAAAAAGTGTTCAGGATTGTCAATAGACTGTATTTGACGGTAGGGTCTGTTGTACGCAACAATGGGAATAAGTCATAGTACTGGACACTACCACAGGTATGAAGAAGGAATCAAACATGCTTTTTTGGGCAAAGAAAATATTATTTTGTATACATGCAAATTTAAACAGTGTTTTAGATATAAAAGTCGGAATTAACCCATATTAATAAAGATGCATAAGAAAAACTCAGTCTACTTATTTGTCCTATCTCATTAAGGTTGTGCATTTCAAATATAATATGCTTTTCTACATTTAATTTGGCTGTTTGTCTTTGCAGACAGAGTAACGGAAGTGAAGACTGACATCTATGTAACCAGTTTTGGTCCAGTTTCTGACACCGATATGGTAAGTCTCACATCTATCCTCTGAATGCATTTTTATCAGAATCCAAGACAACATATACAAAAGCTTTGTCCCAATTAAGCAGCCAGAGCCTTCAAAGTCTAGTTTTGTAGACCAATTACTTCACAGCTTCCACGAACGAGGCTGTCCCATTTCTACAAATGCGGAACAATTGAAACAAGGCATTTTAACTACCCTCATTTACTGTTGCCACCCAACTAATGTTACAACGCTTTTGGCTAAAAGAACAGACTAATCATTTTTTATTTACCTGGCCATGGTCTTTACTTAGCCTGCAATGTCAATCGCAAACAGTAAAGCATCTTCAATAAATGGTTAAAGAAAGAAACAAAAATGAAAGTTTGAGACTCAACTTTTGCTTAGTTAGCTTGTTAGTAGCACTGTTCTGTAGCAGTGTTCCATAGCACTGTTCCGTAGCACTGTTCCGAAGCAAAGTTCTGTAGTGCTGTTTCTGACGCCTGGAAACCTGGAAAGTAGAGCCACGGAACACTGCAACGGAACAGCACTACGGAACAGCAATAGTGAACAGCGCAACGGAACAGCACTACGGAACAGCAATAGTGAACAGCGCTACGGAACAGCACTACGGAACAGCAATAGTGAACAGCGCAACGGAACAGCACTACGGAACAGCAATAGTGAACAGCGCAACGGAACAGCACTATGGAACAGCAATAGTGAACAGCGCAACGGAACAGCACTATGGAACAGCAATAGTGAACAGCGCAACGGAACAGCACTACGGAACAGCAATAGTGAACAGCGCAACGGAACAGCACTATGGAACAGCAATAGTGAACAGCGCAACGGAACAGCACTACGGAACAGCAATAGTGAACAGCACTACGGAACAGCAATAGTGAACAGCACTACGGAACAGCAATAGTGAACAGCGCAACGGAACAGCACTACGGAACAGCAATAGTGAACAGCGCAACGGAACAGCACTACGGAACAGCAATAGTGAACAGCGCAACGGAACAGCACTATGGAACAGCAATAGTGAACAGCGCAACGGAACAGCACTATGGAACAGCAATAGTGAACAGCGCAACGGAACAGCAATAGTGAACAGCACTATGGAACAGCAATAGTGAACAGCGCAACGGAACAGCACTACGGAACAGCAATAGTGAACAGCGCAACGGAACAGCACTATGGAACAGCAATAGTGAACAGTGCAACGGAACAGCACTATGGAACAGCAATAGTGAACAGCGCAACGGAACAGCAATAGTGAACAGCACTATGGAACAGCAATAGTGAACAGCGCAACGGAACAGCACTATGGAACAGCAATAGTGAACAGCGCAACGGAACAGCAATAGTGAACAGCACTATGGAACAGCAATAGTGAACAGCGCAACGGAACAGCACTACGGAACAGCAATAGTGAACAGCGCAACGGAACAGCACTATGGAACAGCAATAGTGAACAGCGCAACGGAACAGCACTATGGAACAGCAATAGTGAACAGCGCAACGGAACAGCAATAGTGAACAGCACTATGGAACAGCAATAGTGAACAGCGCAACGGAACAGCACTATGGAACAGCAATAGTGAACAGCGCAACGGAACAGCACTACGGAACAGCAATAGTGAACGGCGCTACGGAACAGCACTACGGAACAGCAATAGTGAACAGCGCAACGGAACAGCACTACGGAACAGCAATAGTGAACAGCGCAACGGAACAGCACTATGGAACAGCAATAGTGAACAGCGCAACGGAACAGCACTACGGAACAGCAATAGTGAACAGCACTACGGAACAGCAATAGTGAACAGCGCAACGGAACAGCACTACGGAACAGCAATAGTGAACAGCGCAACGGAACAGCACTATGGAACAGCAATAGTGAACAGCGCAACGGAACAGCACTATGGAACAGCAATAGTGAACAGCGCAACGGAACAGCACTATGGAACAGCAATAGTGAACAGCGCAACGGAACAGCAATAGTGAACAGCACTATGGAACAGCAATAGTGAACAGCGCAACGGAACAGCACTACGGAACAGCAATAGTGAACAGCGCAACGGAACAGCACTATGGAACAGCAATAGTGAACAGCGCAACGGAACAGCACTATGGAACAGCAATAGTGAACAGCGCAACGGAACAGCACTATGGAACAGCAATAGTGAACAGCGCAACGGAACAGCAATAGTGAACAGCACTATGGAACAGCAATAGTGAACAGCGCAACGGAACAGCACTATGGAACAGCAATAGTGAACAGCGCTACGGAACAGTGCTATGGAAGAGCGCCACAGAACAGGGCTAGGGAGCAGCGCTATGGAACAGCTCTACGGAACAGAGCGAATGAACAGTGCTAGGAAACAATACTATAGAACAGAGATATGGAACAGCGCCATGGAAGAGTGCTAGGGAACAGGGCTACCGAACAGTGCTACGGTCAGTGCAGTCAGTAACAATGTGTTACATAAACAGGAAATCCTCCGTAGATTAGACCGTACCAATTGTGAGACCGCTTGTTTCTGCTTACTTGACCACGGTGTCTGGGTCCTCTGAAGACTGTGGTCGCTGGGATACAGCTAATGGAAATGGCTTCAGCTCCTTGAAAGCCTTGACCCCAACACTCCAAGCTGTCAAAATAAATGTCCATTCAAAACACAGCACTTTTGAATCAAAATTGCTTTGTATGAAACATGGAACTTGACACACTAGCTAAATGTAATTTGTGGCAGGCTGAGGCTCTGACAACTAAAAACAATAATTTAGAAATGCCTCTGACAAAGTAAATTCATCAGGAAGAACAAGCTTGTTTCAAAAGACAATTAAATTCCTAGAAATAGGGAAGACATTTTTAGAAATATTATTTTAGAAATGATTCATATAAATAGCATACAAGCCACTGTGCTAAATTGGGTGTTGAACTGATAGAGAATAGCTCCAGTTAACCAAGTGTAAGTGAGACATATTGCAACATTTAAAAGGGGTCATGTGATTTATACTTTCTATTCTGATACATGTACTCTTTGTTGGGTTTGACCAGACTGACATGATCCTTTAAGAAATCTCAGGGTTGCCTCGCTGGGCCAGTTAAGACAAAATCACAAAGATCCAGCAGATAATATCTTGCAGACAGAGGCCTGTCAGCTCTGCTTGCCCTGTTGCCATTGGAAACCCAGGCACTCCAACCGTGAGAGTGATGACATGGCAAGGGTCAGCCTGTGTTATTAAAAATTAGATCTGATCATCCACTGCCATGCCGCTCTGATATAGGGCAGTGTGATGTATTTACATATTAATGATCATTATCATATATTGGCCGTCCGTAATAAATCCTAAAATGATTCTAGTGCAGCATTTTAATAGGATGGCACATAGTTTAGTCCTGCCTGCTGTATTAAGATTGTAATGATGTTCAAAATTCAAAATTAATCTCATTAAACCACAACATGGTTAAACGCCATCTACTGTTTTGTGGATTGGAATAGATTGACCGAGGTGGCACCGCTAATGTTTTTGTGGAAGATCCGTAGCTGTTTCTTGTCAATCAAAGACTTTTACAGCTTTTATCAGCTAAAGTCAGCCTGGTACCATAACCAAAACAGCTGAAAGCCAAAGTTTGGCCCAGAAAATCGGCCATTTATTGGATTTGTTGCTTCTCAAATTGAATTTTTTTTTATGGAAACTACATGTCCATTCACATCAGCAAGAGGAGGGGATGTTGAGATAACTATATGTGGTTCCCTGTAACTAAAGGTATTAAATAAATGTGTGGAGTAAAAGTACACACCATTTACCTCTGAATTGTAGTGGAGTAGAAGTACAATGTAGCAAAACTTGAAATACTTAAGTAAAGTACAAGATTGTAAGTACAGTACTTGAGTAAATCTACTTAGTTAGTTACTGCAGGTATGTTATGTGTGCTAGCACTCTAGATGAAATTTAAAAAATGTAATTCGGTTTCCAATTTCTTTAGTTTTTCCCTTAAAAAGTAACAAAAGAACCGATACAAATACTGTTAAAGTACTAGATCGACAAGCAGTATCGGTAAGAGTAGTACCGTTACAATCTTAACGATACCCATAGGAGTTGCTGATGTAGCAGGTAGAATAGTTCAGGAGTTCATTGTATAGTCACTCAATGGAAAGACAAGTATCCCTCTCCGAACAATAGCAAACCAATTCCAACTCCTTGGGGTAATAGCCGATAGGAATATCAAATCAAATCAAATCAGGTTTTATTTATATAGCACATTTAAAAGCGATTTTTGGTCGAGCCAAAGTGCTGTACATGTAATAAAACACATTACTACAATCACAATAAACGACAATAAATTACAACAGATATATCTTAAAAACAAAATAAAAATAAAACACACGGAAAAGTCAGGAGTCGTGCTCCGCTCTAACTAGAATACCTACACTTGACACTTATTAAGACATCTTGGTTCTCCTTGGACTAAACATGTTATGTACCCACAAGGTTCCTAAGCAGTTTAATGGTCCTGATGATGCACCCAAGCTGGATCTTGAATGGGTCAGCACGTGGAAAAACTTGCATACTTGAGAATGGCTGACCCAGTCATTCTACTCCTTGGGACAGCCGTATCAAGGAGAACTTCAGGCAACTCTGTGCAATCTGCACACAAATGTCTTTAGTTTTATGTAACACTTGTGCTTTTAATGGCTAGCCCACCAACCCATTGTACTTGATTAGTAAGGAGCGGGACATTTTTGACACATCCCTAAGCGGTGAACCAATCACAGCAGAGCTGGCCAGGTAACCAATCAGAGAAGACTGGGCTCTGGTTTCAGACAGAGGGTGAAAAGAGGTTGAGAAAAATAAAGAGCTTTTTGAACATTAAAGCATGGAGACATGTCACAGTAGAGACACTACATACACTATGAACCTGAAAATGAGCAGAATATGCAAACAGCAAACTACATTTTAGATAGCCTGTGTGTCTCATTACAGGATATAGCTTTACAGTCACCATGTACTGT